TAAGAAATGTCGTGCCAGCGATCGATGACGCAATAATTTACGTAGCCGTGATAGTAAAGAAAGCATGAGGCAGGTTTTAGCGGATTAATTTCGCGGAATGAAAGACGGAATGATTGTCCAATTTGGTTAACGAGTGAAACGCTCATCGCTTTCTGGACATCTGTGTTTCCTCATACACCTCATATGCCAGTCTTGCAATTGAAATTGATCTTTATACAAAGTTTTAGTCATTATTTTCACTTTCATTATCATAATACCTCAATCTCTCTTTTTCGTATATCGGAATTATTACGAAAGCAGATTCAAGGAGTGAGAGGGGGGGGGGCATGTATATTTAACAGGAATAAAAAAGTCATTCCACAGCGCTACTGGCTTAATATCAAGCTAGCAGAACCAATCCAAAATAAAAGAAAAAAAGAAAAATAATATCAAAAATCAATAGAATTGAATTTGTACTATTTTGTACTATCAAAAACAATTCTATATTATGCATCATTTCCAAGAAAAATTGGCGCTACTAATTTAATATTCAAGCTGGCAGGGCCATAAAAGACAACACAAGAACAAAAATTAACACACCTGAATTTGTACTAATTTGTACAATTGAGAGTAAGTTAATATTTTACATGTTTTCTCCTTAAAATGACTTTATTAATATATACTTACAATCTATGAGACATTCCACGTCAAATCGGGTACCTTTGAAACATTATTATATATATTTTTTTTAAATTACTAACGTATTACTACAGATAAAAACATGAGACACTTGTTTCGCGAAAAAAACTTGAGATCTTTTTTTTTGAAGTTATTCACGTTCGTAAGTTGCAGAAATTCGTAAAAAACGTCGCTCGTGCAAGAATTCAATTATTATATCGTCGAACCATTAGTTGTACAAAAAAATGTAAGAGACGGATTTTAATGATGTTAAATTGTTCTATGGATGAGTTACCGAGAATGTAATCTTTAAAATCGGTCTCTTGTATTTTTTGCACGATCAATGGTTCAATGATATAATAATATTCGCAGGAGCGATATTTTTTTATGAATTTCTGCAACTTACAAACGTGAATAATTTAAAAAAAAGATCTCAAATTTTTTTCACGAAACAAGTGTTTCATGTTTTTATCTATAGCAATATGTTAGTAAATTACAAAAAAAGAATAAAATGACGATGTTTCGAAGGTGTCCAGTTTGACGTGGAATGCAGCTCTATAAAGCTAGCAGGACCAAATCAGCAGAATCAAATCGGACCTATCGAAATTTTTTTAGTACTCATTTTGTATTAAATTGTACCATTAATGATAATTTTGTACCGTGTGCCATTTCGAAAAAAATCGTGGCGCTGCTGGTTTAATATTAAGCTAGCAGGACCAATTCAAAATAAAAGATAAAAAGAAAAATAATATCAGAAATCAATACGATTGAATTTTTAGTATTTTGTACTGCCAAAAACAATTCTATATTTATTATATCATTTTCAAGAAAACAATGACGTTGATAATATTTAAGCTGGCAGGACCATAACAAAAAACAAAATGAGGGAAAAAATTAAGACAATTGAATTTGTACTAATTTGTACCATTGAAAGTAAGTTAATATTTTACATGTTTTCTCCTTAAAATAACTTTATTAGTATATACTTACAATCTATTCTACTTCAAATCGTGCACCTATGAAGCATCACTTTATTTTTTTTTTTTAATTTGCTAACATATTCTACAGATAATAATAAGACACGTTTTCGTGAAAAAAATGTGAGATTTTTTGCAAAGTTATTAACGCTTGTTAGTTGCGTAAATTTATAAAAAAACGTCGCCCATGAAATATTCAAATTATTATATCATCGAAATAATTGGTCGTATAAAAAAAATATAAGATTTTTCGAGATTAAAAGTCCGATTTTAAAGATCGTAAATTGATCTACGGTTGGATTTTATTTTTAATTTATTATTCTTATATAAATAAATTATTTTCCATTTGTTTCATTGATCAACTCATCAATCAAAAAATTTTGTAAAAATATCATATTCCCATTTTAATTATGAAGTAACCCTGAAAATTTCAAAATAGGACTCGCATTTTTTAACTATACAGTCCATTCGAGTTCTATTTTGAAATTTTCAGAGTTACTTTATAATCGGACTTTTAATCTCGGAAAATTATATCTTTTTTGTACGACTAATTATTTCTATGATATAATAATTGAAACGTTTAATGAGCGACGTTTTTTATAAATTTACGCAACTTACAAGCGTTAATAACTTTGCAAAAAAATCTCACATTTTTCGCACGAAACACGAGTCTTATTATTATCTGTAGAATATGTTATGTATAGAATATGTTAGCAAATTAAAAAAAAATAAAGTGAGTTTCAAAGGTGCACGATTTGACGTAGAATAGATTGTAAGTATAATAAAGTCATTTTAAGGAGAAAACATGTAAAATATTAATTTACTTTCAATGGTACAAATTAGTATAAATTCAGTTGTGTTAATTTTTTCCCTCATTTTGTTTTTTTTTATAGTCCTGCCAGTTTAAATATTATCAACGTCATTGTTTTCTTGAAAATGACACAATATAGAATTGTTTTTGGCAGTACAAAATAGTACAAATTCAATCGTATTGATTTCTGATATTATTGTTCTTTTTATCTTTTATTTTGAATTGGTCCTGCTAGCTTAATATTAAGCCATCAGCGCCACGATTTTTTTCGAAATTGCACACGGTACAAAATTATCATTAATGGTACAATTTAGTACAAAATGAGTACTAAAAATTTCGATAGGTCCGATTTGATTCTGCTGATTTGGTCCTGCTAGCTTTATAGAGCTGTGGAATGCCTCATAGATTGTAAGTATATACTAATAAAATCATTTTAAGGAGAAAACCCGTGATAATTTTAAATAAAATTCTTTAATATAAAAATTATATATTTACGGATACTTGTATACGGCGATATAATACGCGAATATATTTTCCGCGGATACTATCTCTCGCTCGCTGAGAAACGAAGAACGCAGAGATGTAGGTGAAGGTCTTGAGAGTTCGTCCACGTCGAGAGTTAGCACCACCACGACGATCCCTACTTAAATTGACCAGCCAGCCGAGCAACTGGGTTACTTTGGTGTATACCGTCCAACAGTCGATGTCTTTCTCGTTTCAAACTTGGTGACTGCGCGTGAAATTCGACGTTGCAACTTCAATGTCGCGGATAAATCCAAACCGAGTCATAGCGGAATTAAGATAGTGTAACTCTTTTTATAGTCTATTAACTACAAAAAGTCTCAATCGGCTAGATGATTTCTTGACTTGAAAACATTTACAATCAGCTAAGCAACGAGTGAAGCTCTCTGAAGAAACGAGAAGAAAAAAGGAACAGAGCGATCGTCGTGGGAAGAAGAGATTAAAAACAGCAAATTGAATATTAACCAAGTATTAATTATTATGGTTATTAATAAGTGAACAAGAATTAATTTAAAAAAGCTTTCTGCAATTAAGTGCAATTTTAAATAAACGTCATGGCAAATTAAAGGCAAAAGCTTTTAGATAGATGGAAAAAATAACTAAACAAGAATGCTCACTATACTAGTATGAGAGCATTTTGAAACGAGCTTGTCTCCCTTAATAGATTAATTGAAAAGCAGTAATATCCATTTAAATGCGAATTGAGCTTCGCACTTAATGGAAAGGAAAATGCTTGAACGGAATAAAGAGAAAGCGTACATCGAAAAGCCCAAGAGTAAAATGTCGAATTTATGAAGTAGATCGTGTTTAATTGAAAGATTGAATTATAGCTTGTATAAGACGCAGTTTAAAGCTTCTTCTCTCTCAGATGGAGGATTAACTCTCGTTACATCCGTCTGCAAAAGTGTGTTTGGCGAGCGTGAGTGGTAAAAGTGGATCAATGTAACCCGTCCATCAAGTTTGCGCGATAATATCCTCGCGGTAGTATACTCTAAAAAATATTGGTGTAAATTTAACATCATGATGTGATGTCTATATAATTCTCTCTATGTTAATATAAATACCAGGGATTATAAATCCACATCATGTTACTAATATTAACACCAACACGATGAAAATTTTTAATTATATGCATAGATACAGCATAATGTTAAATACGCACCGATATTTTATAGAGTGTACTGTCTTTTCCATCGGCAATAGAGATACCGATAGAGATAACGTACAGCATCGATTATTGCGTAAAGTTTCCAGAAACGTTTCAACCTTTCACATCTTATACTCGTATTCTTAACAATTCTGAAAGGATTCTGCAATATGTCATATGAAATGCTTTAACAGAAATGTTTCTAAAATCTATTATATGCAATAAATTGAAAAACATATTTAAACAGAACAAAAAATCATCGTGATGTTAAAATGGCTCCAAAAAGTTTACTAAAAGTCATTTTTTGATCAATCGCAATTCAGTTTAATGTTATGTTGTGACTTGTTCTACTTTAATTGCGAAAAACTCTTGTACATGAATAATGATATTGTGTGGTGAAACTGCAAGTGTGATTTTTTAATAGTGATTATGTATAAAAGTGCTCGTGCATGTAATATGATTGATTAATCAAAATAGTTGGCGATATAATTACTGTTTTTGAGAAATATTTTAAGTTTATTTCAATAAGTTTTTTCAGTATGTAGCCAAATTACAAAACAGATTACAAAAATGATATTTAAATATATACTTGATTGAGATACTTAAACAAACAATATTCAAATTTATTATATATGTCAACATATAATAAATTTAAATATTATTCAAATATCAATCAAGTATATATTTAAATTGTTGTCATTTTTGTAGTACTAGAAATGGCTGAAACCTCTTTGGTAATATTTCAAAAAGATTGCAGATTCTTTCCATGACATTTCATCAATTTTTCAACAAGGTTTCGTGTACAAGAATTGCGGACATTTTGCTATTTCAGAGCTGTTTCAGAAATGCTGCAGACATATTTCGCAATTTTTACGAAATGTTTCACTTTTCAGTTGAAACATTTCTGAGATATTTCTGAAAACTTTCGGTGCTGTATGGGACCCTTTTCTATGGGACGCATTTCGTTACAGTAAATGATAATAACTGCGTTAAATGAGGAATGACGGTATAATAGAAAACTGAAACTTTTTAACTAGTACCTAGTTGAATTCGTAATCGAATTACATGAGAATTTGGAATTGAGCATACGTAATTTAAGGTGTGTCATTACAAAAACTCGTCAATGCCACCGGATTACAACGCCGCGTTCTCTCATGGCGTGGTCTGGAATAGAAACGATATCGCGTTTATATACGGTACTGCACTTTGAGTATCGTGATAGGATAGAAAGTCGGATCTGAGCGCACGGTGAATATAGCACACCGCGAAACGCGCGTGTTCCCATTGCAGCACCGAAGCCCCTTCGTTTACTACTTCCTCCCAATGTCTCACTTTCGTTTCACGAATCGTTTAAGCATCGGTACACTCGCGGAGAATTTCAAGTAATTGTCCTTGGATAATAGCTTTTGGATTCAAGGCTCTTGAAATAGCTAAGAAGAATTGATATTTTTATATTTTTTTTTTATGAAGGAGAACTTTTGCCAACATTCTTACGTACGTTAATTAAAGTTAACAAAGGCTTCTCTGAATAGTAAAATTTTCATTGATAATCACAAATTAAATATATTGTTTGTAAGGTTTAATTAATTAAATTCATAAATACATGAAAAAAAAGTGTCAATACGATAAAATGATTATTGTGTGTGAGATGAAAAGCCTGATTTTATAAAGATACATTGAAATAAAAAGAAAATATTGTTTAAATATTTTAAATAAATTTAATGCTAATCAACAGTTAGTAATGCCTATATCTTGGCTATATTAACATAATTCTCTCTCTATCCGTCTATACATTATAATATCTCTATGCTTTACCAGTTTGCCGATGCTTTCTCTTTACGTTCCATGCCGTATTAACTGCTAGTGAACCGGAATAATTTGTCCAAGATTCGCTATCTGATTTTCTCATTGCTTTTATATATGTCAACTATGTTAACTATTAAAACAAAAACAGATCCTGCTCGTTATTGAAAACACAATAAAATTATATATAAATGACGGCCAAAGACGAGCGAATAATAAGATGTTAAAATATAATAAACTCTTATAATAATTTTTATGTTAAAATCACAATAAACAACGGTAGACTCAATAGATTAAGTTACTGTATTGCTGAGGAGGACTCCAAAGAGAGTCGAAACGTTCAAAATAAAGAGAATTCCATACACTCGATTAAGTGAAACTAAATTTAATCGTTGGCACCTACATCAGCTCATGACTCACATTGGCATTGTATGCTTGTTTATTTTTAATTGTAAATTACAATAAATCACGTGAAACTAGTTTCGACTTTACAAAGCCTTCATCAGTTGCAATAATTTACATACAAGTTATTAACATATTTATTACAAAAAATCCGGAATCAAATGTAGTCAACAAATAAATATTCTCTGTAGTCATCTTTAAAAAAAAAATATTTATTTATTGACTTTGTAAAGTCGAAACTAGTTTCGCACGATTTATTGTAATTTTAACATTAAAATTATTATAAGAGTTTATGATATTTTAACATCTTATTATTCGCTCGTCTTTGGCCGTCATTTATATATAATTTTATTATATATGTCAAATATGTTTAATTAAATAAAAAAAGTCTAACGTTTATAAAAATCGATGTTCTAATTTTACCAATAATTAAACAACTTTAGATTATGATAATATGTGTGCGCGTGTGTGATGCTCTTTTTCCATTAAATGGATATTCAATCAAACAGTTTAATGTCAGCTAAAGATTCTCTTCTTATTAAGAGGACAAATTACTTTCTGGAGTAAAAAAACCGATTTTTAAGAAATTGTTTTTAAATATCTATATAATCTCTACTATAGTTATAAATCTTATTAATATATAATAATTTACAGTCTTAAAAAGGGTCAAGGTACACTTATAGCACAAGTATCACTTAAAGGTAAAAAGGTTAAAATATTAATGTTTTTAAATTTTTATAAAATAATAATTTAAAATAATTAAAATAATAATTTATTTCCTTAAATATTTAAATTAACTAACATAATCGATTTATATATTTTCTTCAATTAATATGCTGTTTTTAGAGATAAGAGAGATAATAGCTACATTTTTTAGATCAGCAGAAAAAGCAGCCTTGCAATAACTATTGTAAAATTCATTAATATGATTAATCTTGCCCTTAGTGCATCTTACTGAATCTAAATACATAAACATATCACATTAAAGGATTTTACAATAATCGTAAAGCTGCTTTTTCTTGCTGATTGAGTGCAGCCAATGTTATTCAATCGAGACGTAAAATTCATTGAGCTAAGACATTAATTAGACTTGCATTACTTTTCAGACGATGGTATCGGAAGGACAGCAAAAGAAATATGATGAATATAAGAGTACGCTGGATGCGGACACGCTGGAAACGGCTAGATTGGAACTCCGTGAGGATGACAACACGAGAGACCAAGCGCTGAAGCAATTTCGGCATTGGATCGAGAAACATCCTACGATTAAAAAATGCAGGACCGATTCGGTGTTCCTACTAAGATTCCTTAGGACGAAGAAATTCAGTTTGCCGATGGCGCAGGAAATGCTGGAACAGTATCTCACTATCAGGCAACTTTATTCCAATTGGTTCCAAAATCTCGATGTTGATGATCCGGAACTTACGGCCATCATCGATAACGGTTATTTAGTACCAATGTTAAAGCGAGATCAGCACGGCCGAAAAGTGATAATGTCATGTGCAGGTACCAATTCTATGAATACAAAAGACTAATTTAAGATGCAGCTAAATCATGACATATTATAGTAAGGTTGCTCCATCTTCGGACAAATTATTCGGCTACGGTATTCCACATTCATATATAAACGTAGCAAGTCATTTATTTTCACGTTTCAAAGGTGCGTTCGCAAACTTAAAGTTCGCAACTCTCGCGGACATTATTTCATCCTTCTTGTCATCAAATATATTAAACAAAATTGAAATGACGCGTGCGAGTGTTGAGAACGTTAAGTGGAATACATCCTCAATTGCTGGCATTCAATTCATATAGTATTGAAAGTTACCTAGTTTTTAAATAAAATTCTTAATTCGTGCTTGATATTATTATTATTATTATTATTAAGCCTGACATTTCTGCTTCATAGTTAATTTCAAGCGATTAGTTTCCGAGCATATATTAGATATTCATACTACTTTATTTTCTCCATTTTTTTAAGGGCATTTCGACCCTAGTAAATTCTCATCTGCACACATGCTCCGGGTCCATAGTATGGTGGTGGAGACCTTAATGGATGATGAGAAAAATCAAGTCTACGGCTACACATATCTCAATGACGAGGCGGGATTGTCCATGAGCCATTTAAGCACGTTGTCTTTCATGGACATTCGTAATATACTGAGGTGCATACAGAACAGTACACCGATGCGTCACAAGGAGACGCATATAATCAATCTACCCAGCAGCGTAGCGAAGATCCTCGAATTCAGCATGTCTTTGTTAAACGACAAGCTTAAGTCTCGCGTTATGGTAAATATCGCGAAATGATAAATATGGCTGTGCGCGCATTTAAATTTACACATCCGACAAATCATATTTGCAATTTGTGCAGATACATAGGAACGTACAAGAGCTGAAAGAAGCAGTGGATCCAAAGATACTACCGAAGGAATATGGCGGGGAAATCTCGCTTTCGGTAATGATCGGTACGAAGATTCTCCTTGCAATTCTTTCAAGTTTCAAGCAGACTCAAGTTGTATTATTTCCTAACATGCTATCTATCTTTTAGACGAATTTAAGAAGGAACTAAAACAGAAAAAAGATGAACTCAAGGCTCTCGACGATATGTATATTGAAATATCGCCGAAATATTATCAAGAGGCTAACGAAGAATTAAGCGGAATATGCGGTTCGTTCCGAAAGTTAGAGGTCGACTAAGAGCAATCTATTTCTTTTCGATTTTGCAACTTTACATTGTCAGCACCTTATTTAAATAGTTATTTTCATATTATGTGATTACACGTCGTATTAATGAACAAGTGTTTTACCAAAAAGAACCATAGAAATATATTATTATGACAGAGATCGTGAACACGTAAACGTATATATGTACAAGCGATTTATACATCAATAATTGTTACCTGGTTTTAACTACATAATTATCTTTTTATTCTTAGATATGTTTTCCTCTGAATCGGTTTATGATATAAACAACAAAAAATAAAATTAATTAGGTAATATCAAGTAACATCTTGGTATAATTTGTATATGAAATGTACGAAAATTTACTTTGATATAATAATACCTCGAAATATTGTGTGTGTGTGTGTATAGTACTCGTTTATAGCTTATATGTACATAAGTTTTCTTTGTAACAGTTAAGATTTCGTAACGCATACGAGTTAATGCTCGTTTCGCCGGTGGTACCAAGTTACCTATGATCTATAAGTCATTATCTTGATTACTTAAAGATTGTAAATTGTGGTTTGATGCTCTTGAGCTCACACTTTATTGATCTATCAGGTTTCAGGATAGAAACTTTTATGTTGTATGTTGTGTATTTTATTATATATTCTGATTTTTCTTCGGTTATTTCTCTGACATGGAGATTGTAGATCATCTAAATTGGTCTTTAACGTTTCTCGTCATTAAAAGACACATACTGAAAAAATACCTTTTTGGTATTTGTAACTATAATTACATATTATTATAATTATGATTATGACTACCCATATACATACTACCCATATACTGGTTGATTGGTAGAACTATACATTAGAGCTGTTGTTATTTTAATAACTTTTGAAATTTGACATCGGAATACTCCCTAAAATGGTTCAATATCTCAAAAAAATAAACCAGAATTTTTTCAGATTTTTTGAACAATATTAACCCATGCCACTGGGACACAGTAGGCGGAAAAGCACCTTGAGAGGTGTCCCAATCAAATTTCAAAAATTATTAAAATGACCATCCTAATATACATGTATATATATTTACTACTAATACTATAATAATCATAATCATAATTATAGTAATATGTAATTATAGGTATAAATACCCCAAAAAGTTTTTCTCTCAGTGCATCTAATGTACGGAACGTACATTCGTAAATACGTATTTTTGAACATGTTTTATATATATTTGAGTTAGGAAACAAAGCTATTAGCTATATATATGAAGATCTTAAGATTTATAATGTTTATTATATAATAAACTCTTATATTGTGTAATGGATATTATTGTTTAATGGAACTTGGCAATTTAACAAAAGATTTTCCCCCGTAAATTCGTAAAACGTATTTAATGATTATTTAGATATTTTTACTTTACGGTTATATTTGAATTGTGACGCCGCTAAAATGTCTATTGCGGGACTATGTAATTCTGATTTGATTTTTCTAACATGAAGAAAGGAAGAAAGAAAAAGAGATTGTATATTTACAGAAGATAGGTGTCGGTTATAATTTGTGATGAATACGCAAGATTCAATATATTTTATGATTTCTTTAATATTTATTAGTTTAAAGGGAAAATAACGATGTGTAATAGAAATGATAATTTTAAGAGTAATTGCAATTTGTACCGATATTATCTAAATAAAAAAATGTTTTATTCACTATCGAGAAAGGGTTCATTTTCCAAATAAGATGTCTAAAATTTATAATTTATTTAATAATGTTGTGCATTTCTCTTTGCTAAATAAACATTAGATAGTTTACGGGCATTAAAAGAGATAAAACATACATTGTCTGCATTTTATTGAGCTTAATACCAATAGACATTCATCATAATAATGAAATCAAATTTGCTAGATTCGTTTGCCTTTTAGTAATTTTAATCGAGCATCTCAATTGGTTATATATGTATATAGGCGCGCAAGAGTTTTAAAAATGATAAATCATTCATTATATAAATAAACTAAATCCTCTTTTTTATATATATACACATATTTATTGATCCTCGTTATCAACGTTTATTATTTGTTTTAAAAATTCTGTGCTTGCAGGCGCTGTAGTGTAAAGACTTCCTGAAAGTAAGGAAAAAGTCGGAACACTGCAATGTAAGTTAAATATATGTTTTTCTAAAAGCAAATTTGTATCTCAATTGCTGCAGATTGTTATCAATTGTGCATATATATAGCCGTTTACATACCAATAAAATTTTGTAGACTACTATCAGAAACAATAATTCTACAGTTGTTCCTCTGTTGTACTTTAAATCCTACGCAGCGAAATCGTTCATCAGTTTCGTACAGATTGGCGCCCTTTCTTGGACTCAAGTAGGGTTGTCCACTGAAAGGATTAATAAAGTCTGCCCAGTAACCGACCATTTTGAGCTTTGTACATATATCGGAAGCTGCTAAAACAAACTAATAGATTATAATGTATAAATGTATCTTTTCTCCAAGTACATAGATATATTTAGACTTGAGATATTACTTTCGTATTTGAAAAAGTGTTTTTGAAGTTGACAGAAAATTAAATAATATCAGCGAAAAGAATATATTTTCCATACGATCTTTGATGAAATAATATTCACTTTTACTTTTGATGATTGATGAGATAATATCAAGAATAATATTGATCTCATTCGTGATAATTAAAAAATCATTAATTATTAAATGTGTCACTTTTGAAGTAAAGAAGCGACATTTATTTGTTATATATTAGATTTTCAAACAAAGTGCCAACAACACACACATACTATCATATACAACGTCGTCATATATAACTTACATATTTGGCGAGTTTTTCTGTTTCTGTTTCCTTACGCCATCTCATCGAGTTAAGATTTGCTTTCTGACTAATAGTTATAATAGTGAGATGTGACATAGTCACATCTAAGCATCCCGGGAATAGTTCTTCTATACTTTTTCGTAGAAGAATAGGACATTCCTGAGCCACACAATCCAATGTCGGCCGTATAGTCTCCCAATTTTCTATATCTTTTCGATATCTATTTGTATCGTTTAATGGCTCCATAAACTCTTCTTTATCACATAGTTTAACGAACTGAGTCTTAACTTGGGCAGTGGTAGTAGCGTCTAGCCAAGCAGGTCCTATACTTCCAGGAAGATAAAATCTAAAACCGCTTGGCGTTAACAATTCCCAATTGGAGTTGACACCCAAAACGCTGTTGTCAATATCTGTATTTTTACAATACACCAAATGCAAATAGTAAACGTATACACTTATATAATAAATATACTTTCGATGGCTCATATAAAATTCAAAATTCAATAGAAGTGGCTTCAAAAGTTTTATACTAGGCCTTAAGGTCTAAAGTTATAGGTCCTTTTTTTATAGCTGTATGTACTGTTATATTTTTCTATATTTCAAAAGAAATAGGTGTATATTAGGGTGAGATTTCATTTGTGCGTTTTTGTCGTACGACAAATGTATGCAGGACAGAAAGGTCCTCGGATCTTCTCTATCCTATAACAAATCAACAGATTTAAAAAATTTCTCGTATGACAACAAAAACACACAAATGAAATGAAATCTCACCCTAATATGCTGATGGTACGACTGAGTCGGTAGTCGATAGTCCTAAGTCTTATCGGTGAAGTTGACCAATAGCCAACTTGTATGACTAACGCTGATTGTTTGTGGAGAGAGGGAGGGGAGAGACGGAACTGACCCGTAATGCACATTTGGCTCCCGACAACATATCGTAAATGTTTACCCTCCACCAATTGGTAACGCTGCTCTCTATACTAGCCGAACGCGGCGTGGCGTCAATTGATGGAGCAAAGTAGAGGGGTAGATTCTCGATATTACTGGGGATCAAACAAATGTGCATCCTCCGCAATTGCAAAGTATATGCGAAACACATACACGTATATCTATAGCTACTTTCCATTTACACCGATTCTCAGATAATTCTCACTTGCGACGTCATAACTCAGTTGAATGCGCGTTCCTTTTGCATTCTGACAAGTGAGATTCAACTGAGTTTTTACTCTTGAAGCACGGTGTGCTTAATAGTGAGTCTCGTAAACTTCAAAGTGAGGTTATGAACCCGTGTTGACATGTGATAACTTTTTACCAAAGCAAGTATAGTGACGTCATTAATCTGAGTATAAAATACTCAGCTCACTTCAGACTCAGTTTCACTTGTGTGTAAATGGAAAGCAACTAATGTATATTGTATACATATATATGCGAAGGGTTCCCGTCCCACATCCCACTCGTGTATGTCCCCGTAAAACCAAGTCAACTTTTTAAAATTAAATGTCGCTTTGCGTGATTACGAAGTAAGAAGTTAGTAACCCACGAACGATTTCATACGAGTTTACAATTATACTTTTCACAGATAGCAAGAACATAGAGAATTAAGGGTCTTTCTCACGATTGTGACAGCTTTCCTAACCTGAATAGTCGTCAACTTTAACGATTAATATCTCGGTTCACCGGGCAGCGCGACACTTTTTTCTGCCAGATTCTTTCGTTTTTATGCAAAAACGCGTCGAATGAACGTAAAATTTCATCAAAATTGAAGCGGGTGGGGGTGTTTTAAATAAATGTTTTAAACCTAACCGAAAATTTATACGCGAGTTCTCGCAGGAGCGCAAAACGTTCTTTCACGTTCTTTCATTCCGATGATACAAGGAATGACTGGAGACGAACAATCTCAACGATCCAGGTTACTCACCGTCCAAGGAATCGCCATTGGACTTGATGATCTTGTAAGAGCTCGTACTCCGGTCACTGCGACGCGAGTAAAGGGCCCTCGGAATTAGATTAAACAGCAACGAGACGCTGTGCCTCCTGCCGTGTTTAATGCAGAGCATCTGGAAGTAACGTTTCGCAGGTTATGCATTCGCAAATCGATTGGCTGTGGCTGGCAGGAACTTGCTTGCAATTTGCAGTGCTTGCACCACGAGGCGAGTTACGACTTACGAGTACGGACTACGGTTACCGTTACTGTGTTATTACTGACCATCACGAACAGCGGTTCATCATTAGGTCGCAAACGCAATTTACATGGAGGATTTTGGATCCGAGCAACAAAAACAGAGCGTATTTACACGCTGATTGCAAAAAATTATCATCTACCTTATATTCTTTATTTATAACATATCGCTTGACGTATTTGTTCGTCATTGCTCGTCATTGCTCGTCACGCGTTCGATGCTGCCACCTACTGGCTGAGTGTGGCCGAGTTGTTTGGACTGTTTGGAGTTTGGAGTGGACAGTGGTTGTCCGCGCCGCGGCTGCGAGTGGCGCGCAGTGGCACCAGAGAGAGAGAGTACATCCATTTTCGGTTTGGGAACTACGTAGCTACATCCATTTTCTGAACCTGTCGATAAAATCATAGCACAGAGAATTATGGACGACCCAGGGCGTCGCTTAAATTGTACGCGATTTCGACGGTAACAGGAAAAAGACGCAGTCTCTCTCTCTCTCTCTCTCTCTCTCTCTGCATGTACTGCTTTATTAATATTTTGATTTTAAGTAATAAAACTTCAAGTAATAAGTATATATTTCTTTATATCATCAGGTGATAAACATCCTCGGATTATTAGGCAAAATTCTTTATTGATTACACTTTACAATTACATTTTTTACTGGATCATAATAATCTGAAAAAGTTCAGTATCTCGTGAAATAAAACGCCATGCGCGGGAACCTATATATATGTATATGTGTATTTTTTCTCTTTATTTAATTATATTGCATACATTCGTTCTTAGTAAAATGATAAAATTCACATAAATACGTCACGTTACACGCTATATGGGGGGGGGGGGGGGGGAGTGTATACGTACAGGTATGTATACGTGTGAGTCTATACATATATATATATATATATGTATATATAAAGATCTAATACACGAGATAAAAACATCGTAAGAAACTAACACGTCGAATTATTTCTCGTTATTAATGTAATCAGTAATCACGTGGATGTCCTCCACTTGGTGTCCAAAAATTGAACATTTTTTTTCGCATTTTCCCCTCAAATATTCACAATAGCGGAGCACCGTCAAAATGATTTTTCTCCCGTTTCTGTCGTCGAACGAATAATCGTCCATTCAGTGCAATTTCGTAAGCACGTACATATATGCATATGTTCTTCGCAGGCTTCAAATTCGACACGTCGCTTCGCCGTCAGTGACGAAAAAGACGATAGGTCGCAACGGAGCTTCCGGATGCAGCGTTGACGATTCGTGGACATTTCGACTGGATGCATACGAGAAGGAATCACGGTAAGTTATATATAGAACATTAATTACATCTAAAACTGTAAATTCTCCAGTAGCTAAACAATTTCTCGAGTCAATGTTTTAATGGTAATCGGAAGTATACAGTAAATATAAAATGTATTAAAGAAAACCTTATTTTTAAAAAGTAAACGTTATTATTCAGTGAAGAAAACATGATTCATCAAATTGATATCGACGAATCGATATCGACAATGATTTTGACACCAATTCGACATCGATTCAACATCTAATTAGCGTCATTTTTTCCTGAGTAATTAACAATTTATTTAGAAAAAATAAAATAGACTGTACGTTTCTCAAAATTATATATATATGTATATATACACACTACAAAGATATGTATTAATTAAAGAAAATATATATTATTTTAAAAATAAGCGAAAATAAAAAATTGTTTGGACGCTCCAAAAGTATATTCGTACTAAAAGTAGGTATATACAATCGAGAAACTTTTAAAATCAGGAATACACGCGAAGCTCGTCGTTTATTTTCTACAAATAAGGCTTTGTTTTTTATAAAAAAAACTTTCCTTGTACGAATACCTTTCGTACTCACTGTAACTTTTAATACGTACGAAGGATTTCTATAACTAGGAAAAGTTCTTTTGGCAAATGAATCTTACAGTTGCTTTGATAAAAAATATATTAAACATTAGCTTTTCTTGAAAGAAAGAAGAACAATTTAATATTTTAATTATAATATTTATATGTGTATATATAAGTGTGTACATACGTACTTTTGGGTATATCAATACTTGTTAGTAAATTCTACAAAGTTTAACCAAACCATCCTTCTTTAATTATCACATGTTACATACTACTTTTGATTTTCTTCATGAAATTTCTTTGATATATTACATGTACTCGTATATTATAATTACAATGCGTGTTAAACGTTGAACGCACGTTAAACGGGAATATTTTATAATATTTGAACATCTATTAATTCGCTCGATTTCTCTCTCGACGTTTTATTCGTACAATATCATAACTTAATCCCGTGAGGCTCGGCATTTTTGTAATTCGCATTGTCGCTCGAAAGGTTTTCTCAAGTATACTTATATCATTAATACGGCAAGGCAATAATGTCCACGAATCGTTTCCAAAAGTGAATCACGAGAAGGACGGGACGGCACGTCGACTTTATCGATCCCGCACGAAAACTTTCCGGCACGAAACGGTCCCTTGTATTCGCACATCTAAAAGCCATATTAAGGCAGCGTTTTCCGAAGGCCGGCCTTTCACTTCCGAGGGGCAAAAGCCAGACGGTTCTCGAGTTACGATCGTCACGTTTGGGTTGAATAGAATAAGTACTAAATATATGCATATAAATTGTTTCAAAAGAGGGAATGGAATTCCTTCTTGTGGAAAAATTCGTGGAAAAACCGTAGAAAATTTACCAACATTTTCTTTTTTTCTTTTCTTTTCTTTTTTTTTTTCTATATATATCAGGAATGGCGCTGGAACTTTGAAAATCGTTGCCTTAAGGGAAAAATAACAGGATGTCGTACTTCCGCTTGATCCGGTGTATTATATTAGTTAATCGCTATTTAAATCGCTATGTGGTGTGTTGGAACATTGGTACAAGTACGATATATTTATGGAAAGAGACAAGAAAATTCCTGGTTGACCCCGGGACCAGTGACGCGTTTATTCTTTTTTTCTTCTTTTTCTTTTTTCTTACACGTGTACAGGTACAGATATATAACATCGATTTGTGAAATCGCCTAATCGCTAGGCTATGGTCCGCAAAATATTCGTCAATGCGCCGATACGCACGAATACCTTCTCTGTTGTCTCCTATTTATTAGCATACGGCGTACCTGGCAATCAACGTTTCCTAAACCTAAATCTACACACACACATGTGTGTAATTCGTGCACGCACAAGATGTCCCTTACATCTTCAACCGTCCTCATCGAATGTGATTTTATCTCAGAATTTGAAAAAGACAATTCTTTATTATCATCCGGATTAATGAATATTTCCATAACGTACCGCAAAATATTCGTGGCTGTCAAGAGTATTACTTTAAGCAAGATGTATATATATATATATGTGTGTGTGTGTATATACATATATATATATATATATACCTATAGCATAAAAACTATTCGGTATATGTCAAATTTCAAATATATCAAAGTATAAAAGTAAAAATAAATAAATGCGCTATAATAATAAAATATAATGTATATTTTAATCTATTATTATAAATGTAATGCAAATTTCATTTCTGGATGGTTCAGCTGACTTTCAGCCATCTTCAATGATCGTACTAGAATTAATTAAAACGTATGTGTTCACAAGGAATAGATTTTTATGAATGCAACGTATCAAAATATATCAATCATATAGTTAATGAAAAATCACAGATTATACAATAATTGCGATTCATTTAATCTTTCAAATTATAATCGCGCGCGCGCGCGCGTAGATCATAATCGTAGTATTACTATGTATTACAAAATAATAAAAATTAGGAAATAATTTTAATCGATATTGCTAAACGGAAATAATACGTGAAAACAGTTATGAGATATTATAACATAAAACTGTAATATCTCTGTATAAAATAAATTACTTTATTTATTTTATGATCTGAAAAAGCTTTCTACATTTTTTACATAATTAAAATTAAAAATTCTTGTACTTGCTTTAAGTGCTTTAACAATATCACTCGTGTGTACATTATTAAGCCATACAATAAATACTTGATAGTTTTTGCAAGTATATGTATATATACGTATATACAGGGTGGGGAAAAAGTATGGAAGCAAACAATTATTTCCGAAACTATTCATTTTTCGACAAAATGTCTTAGACATAATTTTTATGGTATGAAAAGATGTATTATGTGGCATAGACGGCATGACCTTGAAATGACCCTTACGAGCTGCATACAAATAACGTAATTGTTTCTTACATACAAATAACAATTGTTTCTTAACTGGGAGTGTTTTTAAGGGAATGGGGCTCATATGCAGTGTTTTGTAAACGTTTCGACATCAGCTACACGAATCTGTAACAAAAACTGACGAGTTCCATTTGAAATTTTTTACGTTATTTGTATGCAGCTCGTAAGGGTCATTTCAAGGTCATGCCGTCTATGCCACATAATACATCTACAGTGTTTCAAATTCGACGTACTACCTGCTAATGCCAGTTTTTTGAAGACATTTTGAGATGAAAATTCGAATTCTAAAATGTCTCTCGAGACTATAATAAATTTTAAATTATAATCATTTAAAGTTAGCGAATTATGCCGTCTAAAATTTGCGCGTTTAGGTACAATGCAAAGTGCTAAAAATAAAAGTCCATTGTTGTCTCTTGTTAATATCGATATAAATGTTACGTAGGGGGGGGGGGGGGGGGGGAAGTTAAAATTACTGATATTTCTAATTATTGATATTTACGCGTTAAAAACAATGTTTATTAATAATTTCTTACGCCTGGACATTTTGATACCGGAATTTTTATCTCAAAATGGCTTCAGGAAATGAATTTTCTGCCATTAGCAGGTGGTGCATCGAGGAGAGCGGAAGGATATTTGCACTCGATTAATATAAATTTTTAAAGAATGTTTAAAAGAATTTTCGTCTCTGTTGAATAATTATTGTCCGAAGTAAAAATCGCTCTCGGAATGGCGTCGAGATGCAAGGTCCATCATGCATAGCGATTGTGATTCTTTTTTTATCGTCGTACCTTGACGGCGCGCGGCACTTTGCCGGGATATCCTCTGGTGGAAGTCGATAAAAGGGATGTATCAAGTATACACGATGCTCGTGCACAATTTCGCTGGAACGTGATCGTTTTCGCGTTGCGATCGTCCTCGTTAAAATCGTACGCTATAAGATGGACGGAAAATCGTCATTTGCAATTACCTCGCCAAGCTCGTCGCCTCGTTTTCCAAACGCATCGTTATCTCTTAATAGCTTTTACCAACGAATATATTTTGTCAATACTGATATTATTTTACACATATACGCTCTTTTATTAATCGCAATGACATTAGTAGTATTGATTATCTTGATATTAACTCTTTTACGCTAGAATAAAAAGCTAGAATAAAAAGACTTTGTGTTTTTGTAGCAAATGCAAATATGTATATAAAATATTTAAATTAAAATTCAAACCATTTCAACGGTATCTGTAATTTAAAAGAAATGGAGTGACAAATATATATAGAGGGACAAACTGCCACTATGTATACTAATGAAATTCTTATAAACTCTCGCACTTATTTTTTACTTTTGCGTTCCATTTTAGTTTGTTATATTTTAATTATGAAAAGTAACATACATGAATATCAATTCTCTTAGTTGTTTTATTGATTGCATCAGCGTTACTTTCAATCTTAAAGTTGACCTATTCAATAAATTTTAAAATCTCATTATCTTTACGTAGAATAAATTTACATAATAATTATATACGATTTTTATATTTAATATATAGATGAATTTATAAAATTTAAGAGAAGGGAGAGTTTAATAATGAAGATATCTAATTATTGTTTTTGTTACACATCCGCTTGCATAAGGGATATTGGGGAGGAAAGAGTTAAAACACGTAAGTGGCTCCATTATTTACGACTCAAGGATAACGAGCGATGGAGAAGCGAAGGTTGGTGGCGGCGGGACTTACCCCCGATATATTTCCTTATAGGTATCTCCCAGGGGCGAGCGATCTTTACGAGCTTAAGAGCTGTTTCTTATTTATAATTCACAGGGCAATCGCATTATAAAACTTGTATTTCGTTCTCTGTGATAAAATCTTCGTCCGAATTTTGCAGAATATCGACTGAAAATTGCTTGGAGATGGCACACTTTGATTCGTACATTCTATACAGTTACAATGTTATTGTTCAGCGTTTTCAATTGAAGCAGTCTGAGTCGATGCGGGTTTCCAAAAAGATGGACTCTGATTTAGACAAAAGAAAATATATATAGGTTTGTGTGTGCAGTATGAGTTCCGCGCGTTTCATTTCTGACACTAATAAAAAATGTATAAAGAAAGAAAAGAATAAAATCGTAATTAAATAGGTTTATACAAACAATTAAATATAATAATATACATGTATAATGAACCTAAAAAAATTAAAAATCTTGTTTTACAAAGAACTCAACGTGTAATCATGTGGATTTGTCCAATGACAATGCGATAAATCCAATGACTTTATTGTTTTTTCGATAAAATAATAGATGGTAATAAAAACGGTTGTGTTTCTTTCATTATTTTATATTTAACTTTTGAATTCTATCGAATTTGAATGCAAATTCAAGAATTTTATATTTATTCATTTACCAGCTCGTACTTGTTATTCTTTTCGCTTTTTTTTTAAGCTCGTCGATTATTTTCTTGGGGTGATTCCGGCCAGGCTTTTTCATTGTAAAAACGCTGTTACAACGTTCCTCGACACATGTTACGCGCAATAAAAAAATACAAAACAAAAATTGACATTAGACACGTTCGAGTATGTTGATACAGCCGAGTATCGTGGTGTATCGTTGATTTCAAAATTATAATATTACATGACGATTATTACCGGTCATTCAACGACGACGATCACACGGGAGACATTTTTTAGCGATTATAACGGTGGATGGATCGACTTATCTTAAATCCCAGCGAGTGCCCAAAGTCAATGCTGCTTAACAATCAGTCGTACTCATTTTGGAGTATAATACATATTAGTCGATTAATCGCTTAATTCGTTATTACGTGCTCTAACTATGTATACTATGTATAGTTAAAAAGCCCCGCGCAAATCGGCCCATAAAGCTTTCACAATTACGCATTTTTTTCTTTTTTTTACAAAAGTGATTTTTTTTCGGCGGTTTTTCAGAGAAGATTGTTCAATCTTCCTAATTCAAGAGTATAAAAAAAAACTTATTTAAATACTTCTCTCTTAATTGTTAGCACCTATATATTAATACAAGGTGTTCTTCAAGTGCGCTCAAGTCAGAAATTATAAAAAAAATTCTTAACTCTCCCCTCTCTCGCTGTGCGAATGTGTTATATGTTAGCTTTTATTGTAAATTAATTAAAAAAAATTCGGATCATTTCAAAGTGTTTCTCTCGCGTAGCCCCATTGAAAGAACCAACATTCGAAATTCGCATGCAATAATACACAATGATACGCGATCCACATTTTACATCTACAAAGTACTCTCGTAATATCACGTAGAATGTAGATTAATCGCTATTGACCGAGTGACAGAGAGTCGAGCGATACGCATTTACCGAATTTTCGCCGCTCGTAAATCGTTTAATCGCTTCGGCACTTGACTCGCATATGCTCTTTAATTATCTCCTTTGTCCTTTTCTGATTCCTTTCTCTGTTTAAGCGCCAAAATACCGTTCCGCAAAAATTCCAACGTTACGTTATTAATGCTTCACATATTCCCTCCGATAACGCGAACGTTAGCAAACGTTTAGGCAAGATTCATGCCTTTGACAATTTACTATAAATATCGAATCCAGTTATCTCGTCACTCGTGCCTTGTTCAAACATATGCTTTTTAGTATACAAATGTATGAGTGCGGCAGCAAAAACGGTCGAGGTACCTAAAACAATGCCGCGGCGGACATAAAATCATTTAATGTTAAGCCGACGCCGATGAGTTTAATGCCGGCACCAATTAGTGATCTAGTATGACAGTAATTGCGACTAGCATTTCTGATCGCAGGTTGTCGGTAGTTTCGTCCGGTCGCGCCGCGGCGATGGAACGTACCGGACGTACCCAATGATGCATTGATCCCCATATGCAATCGCGGATGCTGTATATAAAATATCGCGAATCCGCGCTTTGAAATCTATAATTTCGATAATAAGTCTTCCCCAACGCTTCTCGAGTTATCTCGCTCAAAACATTGATTCACTTTATAATCAGAGAAATTTCATTATGTCTGAAAATTGAAATTGAATTATCCGTTCATCGTTCGAAACACCAGCCAAGAATTCATATCGTATCGTGCTGTTCGATTTTATTTTTTTCCATGGTTATCATAACGAATCTTAGCTACATTTGCCAACAATTATTTCAACAGTTATCACACAAACAAGTTATGTAAAAAAAAAATATAAATAAAACTAAAAATTCATGCAAGTCATAAAGAAAACACTTTCCGTACAGCCGTACATGCATTTCCAACCCAATCGAGTAATTTTCAATGCAAATAGCGAACTATTCTTGAGCCGAGAAAAACTTTCATTCGTACTTTTGTACTTTCTCAGACCAGAGATCGCTATTTATCGTATGTCCATCGTAGAAAAGCACGATAAATCGAGTTACGCGCATAAACTCGACTATGCAAATGGAATAGAAAGCAACTGGCGTGAATAAACACGAATAGACATCAAGATAATAAGTACGACGTAGCGTAAGAAGAAAATGTGTGTGTGTGTGTGTGTGTACATATATACAGCATTATAAAAATAAACATCGCGTGCACATTTCAGTGCGCGGGGCCTCGAATTGATAAGGTACATACATGCTGCTTGATCCATTCTCCTTATACAAGGCAATAATATCTCAATGACAAACGGTAATCAATAGTTACCAGCAATACTGCGGTTTTGCTTTCTTCGCCGCCCTAAGTGAGAAAGCTAGATAAAGATAGAGATAGAGATAGAGAAAGGAAGAGAGAGAGAGAGAGGGGGGGGGGGGGGGGGGGG